GCCGGGATGTGCCGCGGGTGACCCAACCGGAGTGAGCCTTTGGCGCCCCCCCCGCAGCCCGCCGCCTCCGCAGCCCAGCCCCGCGCGTGCGCACGGTGGCGCCCGTCCCTCTTCCCAGAATGCACCGCAAGACCCCGCGAGTGAGGCGGAAGTGCTGGGCGAGGATGGGGCCAAGATGGCGCCTGGCTCTGGGGGCGCTTTTGGGGTTCGTGCTTGCCCCTTTGCGGTAAGGGATTCCCCGGGGGGCAGGGGGGGCAGGGGGCGGCCTTTGTGTCATTTTAGAGGGGGTTTTTTTCTCGAGGGCCAATATTCCCCAACCAGCTGCCCCTTTGCCGGATGGGTTGGACTACAACTCCCATCGTGCTCAGGCGGACGCTGAGGTCAACCGGGGGGATGATGAGAGCTGTAGTGCAAGCCTTTTGGGTGGGAAGGAGCCCAGTGGCCCTTCCCAGTTCCTCTCTAGGGCTTTTCGGGGTGGCTGGGGATGATGGGAGGTGTAGTCCAGCCAACCTAGCCGCCAGAGGTTTCCCAGGTTCGTTACTGGAAGGCTGCCTCCCCCGTTCAGCGTTAAAGGACGCTTCCCATAGCAAGGACCATTGATAATAACAGCGAGATGGGCGGGGCCAAATTTGAAATATCAATAAATAGGAATAAAAAAACAAATAATGTCCTGATGATTACATTACAAGTAAATTAAATGCTGCCAAACGAGCAAAGAGGTAAGAGGGCAGGGCGGAGGGCGGGCGCAAGCCGCGCAGCCAAAATAGGGGGGAATGGAGGGGGGCCCAAGTGGGCCTGGGTGGGGGGCTGCCCCCTTCCCTGCCGGCCACAAACCTCTCCGTTTCTTGGCCGTCTTGCAGGTCAGCCGAGGTGGTGCCGGAGAGCGACGGAAAAGGCCCAGGTAAGGATGGCGCGCTTGGCGCAGGCGAGGGGGCACGGCTGGGGCGGACGGGCGAGCGCCCCGTCCTGTCCCGTCCCCTCCGTCCGGCTGGGGCCTCGGGGCGCCTCCCAGGGGCACTGCCATGCCACTGTCCTGTCTGGCTTTCCTGCAGCTAGTTTGCCGGGCACCACCCCGTGCTGGCGGATGGAGGATTTCGTGGTGACGACGCAGTGTGCTCCCTGCACGACTTTCCAGATCGTAAGTGGGCCTGAGTCTGGGGGGAGTGTTTCGCGGGGGTCTGGGCCCAGTGTGCCAAGAGAGGATAGCCAGGGCCGTGCCTGGAGGTGCAAGCCTTGGGCGTGCTTGAAACGTGTGCATCCCTTGCCCGTCCCTTCTGGCCTCTCTCTGGCTTGCGGCAAGGCTGAAAATACGTCCCCTGCAGAGAGGCGACAGGCTCCCTCATTGGAATATGAGGATCTCGGTAGGATGGACCTTTACAGAGAGGGCCTTTGATCAGCATCACCTTAGGAGGGAGACCTGCACGAAATGGGAAATGTCTTCTTTCAACTCGGAGGAAAAAAGGCCCCATTTAAACCAGCCGCCTGAACAGCTAAATTAGAAATATTTGGCCAGAAATCATCACCAAAAAAAAAGAGTTTTTTCCCCCCAGCCTTGAAACAAAACTTTTGGAACATGGGCCTTTTGTTCCTGGGCTTAGATACTTTTTTTCTGACCGGGAAACGCTGCTGCTTGAAACAGGTGAAATTTGGAAAGAGATCTCAGGACACGTGAGTTTTGTTACAAGCTGGGATCATTTGAAATGGCCACGTTCAACTCCAAACTATTAGTATTAAGAGTATTGGGTACATTCCCTGCCTCGAGTTGACCTATAGATGTAAATATAAATACAGAAACCCAGGATAGAAATCTAATCATAAAAATAACGAACACGTTCTGCACGCAGAGATTGTCAGAGAACAGGAAATCCGTGGGGCTGGTTCCTCCGACTGGCATACGTTGCTTTTCTGCCCCTTCCAAATGCAATTCCGAAATCTGGTTTCTGCCAAGTTTATTATTTACTGCCTTTCTTATCCCACCCCAACCCAAACTGATTCCCGCCGATTCCTCGGCTAGCCGAACCCAAAGCTGTCCAAGTGGGCGGGAGTTGTTCCCATCCTAATTTGGACGGCGCTATGAAGCAAATCTCCGGTAGGCAAAACGCTAAGAGTGGGAGCTCCGCGACCCCTTACCGATCCTTAAACTCGTGTCCTCTCGCTCGTAGAAAACCATGTTGGAATGCGGCGTCACCGGCTTTGTCGAGCAGATCAACTGCGGGGCATCCAAGAAGGGGGAGTTCAAGAGGTGGGTGCAACGTTCAGGAGGGTGGGGACGTTTGCTAGGCGGAGATGCGTTTTGTAGCACGTTCGCCCTCCATTCTCGCTGCTTCACAGACTTCCCTGGACCCCCCTTGCTTCCGGCTTCTCTGTACTAAAGTGGAATTTTCTCCAGCTGTTTGCAGTTTGCAAATCTGGTCCTCAGAGCAAAAGGCGTTTTCCTTTGCTTCGTCCCTGTTGGAAAAAACATTGCCCGCTTTCGGGGACCGATAAGGGGACCGATTATCTATTTTGGCAATGATTAGACAGATGGGGGGGCAATACGCAAGAGGCCTCCCCGTGGGCGTGTGGCATGCGGTGGTAAGGCTCAAATCTGTGAGCAAGCTGTGGCTGGGATCTGCCTGTCATAGAGTCAAAGGCTTGCAAGGGACCTCAGAGGTCTTCTAGTCTGACCCCCGCCCTGAGCTGCTCTTGGCCCAGAGCGCCGGTCATCCCCCTTGCTGAGATCACCCCGGTTTTCTCCCCGCAGTTGCCGCTCCGTGGAGATGGAGACGCGGATCTTCTGGAAGTTTGAGGGCGCCATGCTTGGCGCGGCCGCCGTCTTTGCCCTGCTGGTGGTATGTCGGCAACGGGTCCTTGACGGGAAGGCTTTGGAGAAAGTGCGCAAGCAGATCGAATCCATTTAGTCGCCGGGAGGTGGTTTCATTCTGGCAAGCGGAAGCGGAGAGGGACGGATCCAGAATTGCCGTGTGGGAGAATGGACCAACCTCATGCCCTCGGTCAAGACCACCCTCCCCTGCTTTCCATCGCCAGGGGGAGAGGGTGCTGCGTGGACTGGGGGTGCTTCACTCTTCAGGGTGGTGGCAAAATGTGGGCACCTCTCCTGCTTTGGGGAGACGCGTGGCATTTGCCCCCCTCCCAGATCCTTTGCTTGGACTTCATCTCTGGGCCTGATCCGGCTTTTTAATCGTGCAATCCTGACTCCCTTTTTTCCCCCCTGGAACTTTGACCTGTTGCTGTTATTTAAGCCCTGTCGCTAGAAGTTTGTGTGTGAACTGAACAGGCCTCCTTCCTCACTTCTCTGTACCAGCCCTGGCGGTGAATCGGTTTTCTCCCACTTGTGATTAAAAGACTTTCCCGTTGAGCGTCTCGCCAGAGGAGTGGGCGACTGGCTGTCTTTCGAAATTTGGGGCTGGGGTTCCCTGGGGGGCGAAGCTTCTGGGTGAAGAATCAGCCTTGCCGTCTTGCGGGGTGGTAATTGAAGGCAACTTAGAAAGGGTCACCAGCTGCCCGACGTTGGGGTAAAAGGATAGAGCGAAGAGCAGGGAAAATGGGTGTTGGGAGCCAAGCAAACCTCCCTCACCAGATCAGTTATAAACCCAACCTCTGCATTCACACAGGATGCTAAGTGGGGCTGGGTTAGGTCTTTTGCAGCACGGAGGGGGCAAACCCAGCTGGGCTTGTGGGTCAGTGGCTCGAGACAAACCCAGAAAAGGCGTTCATTCTAGAACCCGGGATAAGCGTTGTGTGCGCGAACGCAGATTAGAATTCCCCTTATCCCAAACGTTTGGAGGTGAACCTTGGAGGCCAACCACGCCTGGCTTCAGATGACAGGCCAAGTCAGCATATACCCTCAAATGTTTAGGGGAGCGTCTGGATCCCAAAGTGGGGGAGAATTGGCCGTCTGTGTGTATGCTTTATATTCAGAATTAAAAGTGTTCGGATTGAGAAGACGCCTCCCGCCCTCCAAAGATCAGATCCTGACCCCCGCCCAGCGGGGAGCAAACTCAGAAACCCGCTTCTCCACCCTCGCTTCCGAAAAGCCTTCTTGCCGCCCCGGAAGCCCTCGAGGGGAAGAAAATGCCCTCTAGACATGCTCAGGAATTCTCCTTTATTACTCCCAAAGCCGGCTCCAGGGTCCCAGCCAAGAGGGCGCCCGTTGACCACCCCACCCCCCCATCCCATCCCCAGAGCGACAGATTGCAGAGAAGCAGGAAACCGAGTTGCGGACGGGCGACGGGCCGAGAATCGTGCATCACAAGCATTTGAGGAGGAAGGCGTTGCAGGCCGCTCTGCGGGGGCAGTCGCACAGCTTGCCGATGCGGGCGCCTTTTCGGATGGCGCAGGGGTCGCCGAAGGAGCACTGGAAGGGAGGGGGAGAAGGTGAGTCCCCA